CCATGACGGTGTCCCGTGCCCCCAAATGAGCAGTCCGTCTGTAAGATCCCCCTGAAAGGACAGCTCACTTAGTAAAACATCCTAGGATCTGAATTCCCTGCGAATCCAGACACTTCTCCACCAGCCTCTGCAGAAAACCCCGAACGGTGGATTTTCTCATCTGTCATTGCGCCGGGGAGCGCATGGACCCAGAGACTTGAGGAGCCGCTTCACTGGAGAGTGACGCCCTGTGCCGTGGAGAGGTGGTGACAAGTGGCCCCAGGCAGAGCAAGCAGCTGTCCTCTCCATGTCCACAGCCTCCTCCCCTGCCCTCGCCGAGGCCCAGCAAGCCCGAAGCCGGGGCCTAGGCCAGTGCCCCTTTCCCGGAGCCTCTGTGTCCTGACTCTCAGTGGCCAGGCGTCCCGAGGAGCATTATCCGGGGCCCCAACCAGGGGCGTTCCACGCAGCTCGTCCATCAGCCCAGGAGCCCTCAGTCACAGCCAGCCCCTGGGACTGAAGACACACACAGCCGCGTCTGAGACCCCACGAGGGACTATGCTGGGTGGCTGCCAGCCCGCCCCCAGAATCGTACCAGTTTGCAAATATTCGTCTAAAGAACAGTGCAGAGACGCTGAGAGACGCCGAGGTCTGCAGCCCGGAGCCCACGCAGCTGGAGGGTTCGTTTTCAAATGCACTTTGGTCATCACGTGTACCCACAAAATGCCAGATTCCAAAGGCCTGCACCCCAGCTCCCTACACCTGAATCTTTAACATGCACCTAAGATTTTAAGGAGATCGTGTCTTCAAAGGGAATTCCTGCTTCCACTGCGGAATGCAGACATCGATGTAAAGCCCCAACGAAAGCGGAGGGCAGGCGTGTGTTCACAGTGATTATGCTTCTGCATTTATCTTTTATAACTTACAGTTGGTGTGACTTAAAGAATTACTAGATTGGGAAGTGAGTGTACTTAACTTTAAATGTTTTTATTCTGTTCTGTTTTTCAATGAGTGTTTTTAAAAATTAAATTGGATATTAAACTAAAAAAAGCTTGTCTTCAAAATAAGGCACGTGGGAAAGAATCAAATGGATCATTTTTACTTAAAAATAATTTTTAAGTTGGCATCATTTAGAGAGGAAGACTGAACAAAAATAATTTAAAATGAAAGTAAAGTATGTTGAGAGAATGAGAGGGAAAGGAAGTAAGTGCTTGGGGACCATTATGCATCAGACATAGCTAAGGGAGAATCTCCCCGCAGAGGCAGAGAACCTTCTAGAAAAGAGCTGGTGCCCCAACAGAGGGGAGGAACCACTGTTGAGCACCCGGTGAGCACCCCTGGCCATGGTGGGATCAGTGGGGACTGCTTGTCCACCCAGAGTGGCCCAAACTGTGCTGCTTGGGGCTGCATCCAGCACTGACTCGGAGGTCACCACACGGGACGGCTCTAGCCAAGAGTCTCCAGGACACAGATCCCAGCTCAGGAACCACACCAAAGACCAGGTGTCCACCTGGAGGAAGTTTGGGAGGCCTCGGCCACTGGACGGGGGCACCATGGTCAAGCCACCAGAAAATGTCAAAGGCAATGCTTCTGTATCCACAGCTGTTGTCCCCGCCGGGCCAGAGGCCCCAAAAGCCAAAATCAAATGGGGACCGCTGACCTCCTCTCCCTACAAGCGTGCCTCCAGCCTATCCCCCCGCCAGGAGGGCAGCACCCTGTTTGCACACACAGCCCTTCTTCTTGATAGAATGCCAGTCCAGCCACCTAGAGACGTGTGCTGACTCAGGACGGCGGCCGGGAGAGCCTCCCCGAGCTGCGATGAGCTGCACCCTGTAACCAAGCAAGCAGGGCGCTGCCCGGCCCTGGGTTTTTCTTCTCAGCCTGACAACAGCAGTAGAAACAGCTGCCAGAATAGATCATACGCACGCCTCTCTCAAGGGAGCCCAGTGAATGTGTCCTCCCATCCTTTGCTGTTTTGCTAATGAAAAGCAATATCAATACAACAGCAGAAGCCACGAGGCGAGATCGTGAGAAATGCGTTCCGAGGCTCTTACTCGCCTGCACTGAGCTCCGGGAGAGGCTGTGGGCTGGCCGGTGCACGTACTTCAGAGCTGTTTGTGTCCTGTAAATGCTGGTGATTAGATTTTTAATAAACCGTTTTGGTCCTATTTCCTGGGCTTGAATAGATGTTTGAACTTGGCTGGGGTGGGGGACACACTTTTAATTCCTCTAATAGACTTCGTCAAAGGTGACTAGCTGTAGGAACTGGCCAGAACACGGAGACAGAGGGAGCGCTATTGCATTTAATTGGTTCCGTTTGTCATTCGAGGCTGACTGTGCCGCACCTCGGCCATGAAACATTCCCAGACTTGCCGGCTCACCCAGCGTGCCCACAGCTCAAGAAGGGAGCCGGCACTGGGTTCCCAGGGAGATGGCTCAGGCTGAGCGCACATCCCAGGGCAGGCCTGGCATGCGGCTCAAGGTCCATCGCTGAGAAGGTCAGCGCGGGAGAGCTGGGGAATCCGGAGGGGCCACGTGACTCAGAATCCCGGCATCACTGTCCCCAGCCTCTCAGCCACGCCACGCCTGGTGCTGGGACAGCAGGAAGGATGGGTCCCTTGGGCTACGGTTGCAGGACCCTGGGGCCCCTCCCCACTCACCCAGCTAGACAAGGGCCCAGGTCTGGGCCCCCTGCAAAAACCAGAAATCCTCGGAGGCAGAACCACAACCGCAGAGTGTGTGGAGGAAAGCACCTCCTCTCCGCGTACAGCCAGGACGAAGCCCGGGCGCCGGCACGGCTGTGCACGCGCACCTGGGCCTCCGGGGACCGGCAGCTGCCTGTTGGCAGGAGCGCCACACAGTCCCACCAGGAGCCCTTTGCCAGTGACCATGTTTGTGTGTCACCAAGCAGTGAGAGGGCTCGCTACAGATTGGCAAGGTGTCTGCTTAGATTTGGCCTGTTGAGATTTGAGCTATTTGCAGGAGCTGATCTCAAAGCGTGAGGCCTGATACAGAAGGCAGCGAGTCACGAGGCTTCTCTAGACCGAAGTGTCCCCTGGAGAAGGAAGGACGATGGGCTCGGAGAGACTGAGTCAGTGGCAGGAGAGGCACCAAATATAACCGGGCTGGCTCCATGTCGCCGCCCGGCAGAACTTGCTGAGCACCTACTGTGTGCCAGCTCCCACAGGGTGCTGAGACGGACAGGCCAGCATGGCCTCTGCCCTGGGAAATAGGATGCTGCCACACTGTCACACTGAACACAGGACAATGGTACTGTGACATTGGACCCAGAGAAAATTGCAACCCTGGTTTTCAGAGAAACAGAGTGACAAGGAGGGTTTGCAAGTCCTTCGGCAGAACTCATGGAGGAATGAGGAGAATGGTCCAGCAGGTGACCAGGGGAGATGAGAGGACAAGCCCCACTGGGCAGAGGCCTGTGGGGTGTAAGGGACGGTCCCGGCTGTCTCAAAGCACCTTACCGTTTTGTCCCTCAAACATTCACTGGGCACTCACTGTCTGCCTGGCTCAGAATCAGCCAAACGAAACCCACTGTGATCTGTCCTGTGATGGGGCAGGGGCTGTGAGAGCCCCTCTTATGTGAGGGATCAAGGCAGGCCTGCTGGGAGAGGTGTCCATGTGTATTTCCACTTCACAGCCCCTGGCGGTGGTTCCCTTTTGCCTCACCTTGGCAAGTGGAGGAAGCCAAAAGTGTCTAGGAGGTGGGGGACTCTGTGCCTCACCCATCCATCCATCCATCCATCCATCCATCATCCATTATCCATCCATCCATCCATCCATCATCCACCCATCCATCATCCATCATCCATCCATCATCCATCCACCCATCCACCCATCCAACCATCTATCCATCCATCCATCCATCCATCCATCCACCATCCATCATCCATTATCCATCCATCCATCATCCATCATCCATCCATCATCCATCCACCCATCCACCCATCCAACCATCTATCCATCCATCCATCCATCCATCCATCCTTCCTTCCATCCACCACCCACCCATGGAGACATTCAGTGAGCCCCCACTGAACAGCAGTCCATGGCAAGGCCCTGGGAAGCGCTGGTCGCATTTGGCCGCCGTGGTCAAGTAGAGGCCTGGTGAGAAGAGCAGGACCAGCCAGGATGCTGAGCGCTGGTCCCCACAGATCAGGAGAGGGGAGAGACCAGCAGCCGGCGCCATGTCCAGCCAGCCTTCCCCCCTCTTGCTGTGCAACACTGGGCTGCTTACCTCACTCCTCTGCACCTCAGTTTCCTCATCTACAAGTGTGGCCAGGCAGTGCTGCCCCTCGGGGAGACGTGCGCCCCAGTGACTCAGAGGTGCGGCTCAGCAGTGACCAGTGGCCGGAGCAGCAGCGGTCACAGCATCAGCAGTCCGTAGGGTGGCGGTGGCGGCAGGAGTGTGTAAAGAGGAAGCAGTGAGGGCACTCTGAGCCTCTCAGCCCAAACGGGTCTGGTTCTGAGAGGCGCGTGTGGAAGTCACTCCCAGGTGACGGGGACAACCGAGAGGGTCTGAGGGCGACAAGGCCTGGGGCCTCTGAGCTGCTCCTACCGAGACCGTGGTCTGGAAGGTGCAGAATTCCCAGCCCAGGGGGACGGAGCTGGGGGAGGAAACGCAGGGGTCCTGGGGGGTGAGGGGTGGGGGCGGCCTGGCATTTTCTTCCACACTTGGGGCTTTCGTCCAGCAAAGAGGAAGTCCAGGCAGCTGCCCTCAGGCCCCGGGGAGTGTGCCGGCAGTGCTTGGGAGTTCCCACCCCCAAACTTGCAACAGCTTAGCCATTGTGGGGATGCCTCCTGCACCTGCTGGGGGGGGCATTCACAGGTTCTTCAGTTTGTCACCATCTGTGTGGCCAGAGAAAGGTTATGGGTGTGACACCTCCTAGGGCCTCGTAGTGACTAACAGGAACCACTTCCTGTGGGCAGACCCCGGGCTCCTACCTCACCCTGGGCTTAGACGCTGCCACAAGCAAGTGGTTTGGGTTGTTTGGCCTTTTTCCCCCAATCTTTTTTATAATCAAAAAAAAAAGAAAAAAAAAAAACCAAACAAGAATGTCACTTGAGAATGTCACCTCTGAGTCTGGGGTGCGACTTTTAGGCTCAGAGCCTCCACGCCTGAGCCCACTTCAGGTCAAACAGGGCTTTGAACAAGTGTTTGGGTTGTGAGTGTTAACCACGTCAGCCCAAGGAGCGGGGGTGGCCTGGGGCCGGAGGGGCAGGAGCGGAGCCTACAGGCTGCGGGGGCTTTACGAGCCAGGCCCGGTTTGGGGGGCTTCTCTGCACTGGTTGCCTTTACCTGACCAAACTGCCCCGGTGTTGGCACGCCGGTGACGTTTCATGACTGCCCTTCCCTGGGCATCAGGCTCTCGGTTGGGTTCCAGGTGCAGGTGTGCATGTTTTCATCCCCCCAGGAAGCTGGGGTAGAGCTGAGGCCCCAGGGACCTGCACATGGGCACCCACAGACAGGTCAGGGGTCCCCCCTTGTGGTGCCAGGTCGGTGGGGGCAGGGAGGGCGCAGCATTTACACCCAGATTACACCAGTTGGTCTGAGCTTAGAAACCTCTGCGGGGACCCATTCTGTCAAGTAACTTCTCTTGCGCCTCCAGCCGTCTCCGCAGAGGGTGGGAGGGCCGAGTGGAAGGGGGCCCTGGGCATACGGCTGTTTGCCCTCCTCAGCGGGTTCAGACCCGGCCCCAAATCCTTGCTTTGACCCTGTCGTCACACAGAGAAATGACCAGCAAGGCCACAGAAGGGGGCAAGGTCGACCTGGCGTGATGGGGCCCCACTCATTTCCGGCTCCCTACCCCCAGGCAGGACTGGCAGCAGGCTTGGGGCTTCCCTCGGGGGTGGGTGCAGCTGGCGGCTCAGGACTCGGCCTGGCTGGGTGTGAAGAACCCCCTCCGTCCAGGTAGACCGTGCTGCCAGCCCTGCCACACCCCTAGGGACGTAAGGCCGGTCCTGGGATGTCCCACCCAAGACCGTCCACCAGAAGAGGGTGTGGCAAGGCCCGGGACCCTGCTGCCCCAAGAGCTGTTGTCTGCAAGTCACCCCATAGCTTTCACCTGGAACTCTTGGTGGAGTTTGATGACTGATGCCCTTCTGGGGTTGGCTCGGAGGGAATGACTGAGGTGGGGCCACCGGTGACCTGGGGCCTTCCCTGCAGGGATGTGGGACAATATTACCACTGGCATGTCCGTCGGAAGCTCCGGGATTGGGCCCTGGGGTCCCAGCTGAATCCTGGGGAGTGGGGGCTGGACAAGTCTCATTGCTGCCTCAACGTCCCCTCCAATGAAGAGGCCTGCTCCCAACCAAAGCCGGCAAGCCAGGCGGTCACCCACAGGCCGCTCACCAGGACGAATTTCCAATTCGGCCGCAATGCAGAGCCCCTTTAAAGAGAACACATCCATAAACGGGGTCCCCATTACATAAGCCTGGTTTACAAACGTCTCCGGGGAAATGTCTTGTGCCCTCTCTGCTCCCAGCAATTATGTCTGAAGACAGAGCCCCCTGGGCCAAGTGCCCTCTGGGAGTGGCTGCAGCAGCCCGCCACCCCCCCAGGGGAGGGCCCCCAGGACCCCTGCCCGTCACTCCGCAGGCCGCCCAGCCGCTGGCTTGGGTCTGTGAGGGGAGCCACCTCCTACTGGGCACCTGGGCCCAGGGCGCTCTGCAGTGACCAGGGCCTTCTCTTTGGAGGGTGCACATTCCGAGAACCACACAGCTGGGCAGAGGGGCCCCTGAGGGGAGGTGCACGGACCCCTCTCCTGCCCCCCGCCAGGGCGGGCTTGTCCCTTTGGGGGCCCTGGGCCACCCGCAAACACTCCCAATGGGCCAGGAGTCTGTACTTGCTGCGCCCCCCCCGGAGACCCCAGAGCGGGCCTGCCTCGCGCCAGTGCCCGGTGAGCCCGTGGTGGGCAGAGCCCTGCCTGCATGCTTCGGAAGAGCAGGTGAGCAGGTGCAGCCGGCGGGGCGAGCAGCAGGGGCCCACAGCCGGCGGGGGCAGGAAACGCTCGTATGTCCCTGTGGCATGTGACACCTGAGCGCTCTCAGAGCCAGGCAAGGTGGGTTTGGGGCTCCGCTCTGGATGTCTTAACGCACTGTCCCTTAGCCGTGGGCCTCCACATAGCCAGAAGACAGGAAATAGGCTTTCTAGTTCTAAAGGGGAAACTGAGGCAGGACCCCAGCCCACCCCTGTGTTGTCAGTTTGAGACTGAAACTTCAGGGTTGGAAAGGCACAGACGGTTCAGAGCGTCCAGCCTCCCTGTAGAACACCCTGAGGCATGGCCACCAAGCTTTCTTGAATTTCCCTAGTGATGGGGTGCTCACCCCTTTGCAAGGCTCCCGGTCCACCGGCCAGCTGCCTGTAGAGAGGTCTCCGCCGCCGGCCCTGAGGCCTCCACAGACCCCAGCTGCCGATCACATCTGCGCTGCCGATCGCCCTGATGGGTCCTGATCTGAGCGGGTCTGTTTCATTCATTCATTTCCCTGTAAATGTAGGAGCTGGTTTGAGTCCCCACTTTGCCTTTTCACTTCTGATGGCTCAGGGCTACAGCTCATGGCCAGTGAGACAAACGGCCGACTTGCCAGGGTGGACAAGATATGTGCTTGGGAGGAGGCCCAGCTCCCAAACACCCCACGCAGGCCACAGGTTTCTGGGGACCCCCCTGGAATGAAATTGTGTTCAGGTCACACCAAGGGCCGGCGACCTGGGTTCTGCAACAGGCAGTGAGGGATAGCTGCCGAGTCCCAGGATTACACAGCCCCTCTGCTCACCCCCATTTGCCTTTTACATAATAGGGTGTGTAAGCCCCATTCCAGGGGACCTGGGGACCAAGGGGGCCCCTCGGGGACAGGAAGTCTGCTTCACTGTTGTCTTACCCTCTGTTTTTTGCAAAGTGTGTAGACGCCGTTGGTTGAGTTGAACCCCTCGTGTGCAGCCCCTGGACAGAAGAGGAGAACAGGAAAAGGGGAGAAATAAGAGCCAGATGGGGGGGTAATGCAAGAATGGGGGGGGACAGGGTGGGGGCGGGCCGAGAAGGAGCTGGAGAGACAAGAGGAAGCGCAGCAGCGGGGAGCAGAGCCCAGGGTCTGTGCTGCGCCGGGCGCCCAGTCCGCGCACTCCCACGGCAGCACAGCACCCCAGTGTCTACGTATTTTGTGGGAAATGGCCTGTGAAGCCGGGAAGCTCCGTGGCCCCTGGGCGTCTGGGTATTTTGGGGGAGAGGGTCTGAGAATCCCAAGGAGTTCGCGGCATTTGGATATGTGGGTAATTTGCGGTCCGTTCTGTCATCTGACCTTTGCAGGCATCTGTGGCCCCAAAACGCTGTAAAGTGAGGTTTCTGGGTTCTGGCTTATGCCCAGAGGCTCCTCCCATCACTGACACCAGAGTGAGGCCCCCAGAAGTGGATGGACGTGGGGCATCAGCCTTGCTGGGGGTCACAGCGTGGTGTTGGGCACCTGGCCACCTCCTGTAGCATTGTCATTCTGGGCGTGAGACCAATGCACTCTGGTCCTGACCCCCCCAAACACACACGCCACTGCCCTGGAACTGTTCATTGGAAACCACAGTTAGCCGGGGTGTCCTAGGAGCCCCCCAACTTCTTCCAGGCACAAGCCCCAGAAAACGCTGGTGCTCTCCCCTGTCTCTCCACGAGCTTAGGAGA